GTCCCCTTCACCTCCCCTTCTTGTCCACAAATCACCACTTCCAGGAAGCCCTCCAGGATGCCTCCCCTTCACTCCCGGGTTCCCGCCTAAGCCAGGGCTGAAACCACCCTTCAGCCAGTTGCATTCTTCAGCTGTGTGAGCTCTGTAAGGACCTCAAAGGCAGGCACCGTGTCTTCTAATTATCCTGTGTCCTCACACAGGCCTGAGCACTTTCTCGAGGAAAGCAATTTGTCAAGCAGCTGCTCCCCAGGAGGGAGAAAGGCTGTGTTTGTTTCTTCCTGGGTGTTTGCAGTGTTGTGTGTACAGAAGACAAACAGCAGGCCGGGCTTTCAGACACCTGTCCCGTCCCAGCATGCGGGCACCGGTGCCAGGGAGCCCCTCTTGGACCCCGCCGCTGGCGCCCACCCCCCGGATCTCGCCCTTGGGGCAGGGGGTCGCCTGTACTTTGCTTCAGCTGTTCTAACCTCTCCGGGAAGGGAGGATGAAGCCCTGGGGGTCTAGGACCACCGCTGGGAGCGGTAACCCTGGGCAGTTCTCCTACCGGGGCTAGAGTCTGTTTCCTCAGAAATCCAGTGACAACCCCCATCACTCCATGTCCTGGAGGAGCTGTTGTGAGAACCAGGGGAGAGGGCATGGGGGGGCTGTTGACAGCCACTGAGATGGGACACGTCCTTGTCACCGTCCCCATGGGGTCCGAAACGGGCCCCAAGCATAACCCTCTGGTCCCAGCACCCTGAAGCGAATTCCCCACGAGACCACGGTCTCCTGACCTCTGGCCCCATCTTCCCAGGCCCTCCAGGATGCAGATGAGAGGCAGACGGGACACGGCCTGGTGACAAAGGCTGCCCCTGTCAGCATCGGCAGAGAGGTGGCAGCTGGTGGGGCCAGCTGGGGCCTGGACTCTGGCCACGTGGGTCCCTTGTCCCTCATGGGCCTCTGAGTCATCAGGTCTGCAGGTCAGAGAGCGGGCTCAGTGGGGACTCCCAGGGCCACAGCAGCGGGCTGCCCACTCGGGCTGGGGGAACAGGTCGGGGGACCACATCCTCACCCGCATCAGGGAGGCTGCCTCCAGCCACGCGCTCTCCTGCAGCCCCTTTCTGCGTTCAGGCGCAGTTTGTGCCAGGTTTTATTACTGACGCTCTGGAGGAGGAGGAAAATGGGCTCTAATGATGGCAGATTCAGTATGCTTCACACAGAATCCGTGTAGACGGTCAACACGTGGACGCACGCTGCACGGGGTCGGGGACGCCGTCTCCCCACTGGTTTACTGTTGCTTTTTCCACGAGGAATGCATGCGCTCAGCTTCCAGCCAGGAAAAGCCTCCAGGCATCCTGACAACCGGCGCTGTGTGCTCAAGGCAAGGAGCCTGACAGCTCCTTCTGTGTTTGCTTTTCCCTGTTTGGTGCGATCCCGAGCAGCCTGCTGGAGGCGAGCCACCAGTGTGAAGACATAGGCGTGGACAGCAGAGCCGGCGGTCTGGTCAGTGTCAGCTCGGTCTGGGAGGCGCGCAGGGAGGCTCTGTCCCCGATCTGGGTGTGGTGGGTGGGCAGGCACCACCACTGCATGGTACACCCCTGCCCCACCCACTGCTGCAGGTCAGCAGATTGTGCGGTGCAAGTCCTGACGCATCCAGGAGGGCTGCCTGGAAGCAGCGGCCACCGTTTATACCCTAGGATGAAGGCACGTCCATCTGCATTCTGCGTCTTGAAAAGACCAGAGGATAGAGGCGTTAGTTCTGGTTTTAGAGAAACAGATCTAACCTTGACTCTAATTTAGAACCGATGCAGAGCCAGAACTCCACCTGCCTTTCTGTGCTCTTGAGTTTTCTGCCTCTCTTCTCCATCCACTCTCATGACCCAGCAAAGCTCCCCACCCCTCAGCAGGCGATCATAGACAAGATGAACTCGGGGACTTCAGTGGTATTTATAATCATTATTTATTAATAGCAATAAGGTATTATCTTCCAAAATATCAAATAGCGTATAATGAAAACCTGAAGACACATTTTATTGCTGGTCCAACTGTACCAAGATCTATTTTAAAAGTTATTTGTCACATTTTGAATGAAATGAAAACCATAACCACAAAAATGACACTTGCTTCCCAAAGTGGGACCCCGGTTTCCCCAGTGGACACGGGCAGCTCTGGGTGCGGTCCCCGGAGAGGCGGCCGGAGGGTGCCCGCCAGGCCGCTGGTCGTCAGCACGAAGCCCGGCCTCTCATCTTCCTGGGACGCGACAGCCTGGCCAGCGGGAAGAGAGACTCCAGTGAGAAGACAAGAAGACACGCAGCAGCGCTGGGTGGCATGTGAGTGGTCTAGAAAAACGCCGGAAATGAGAAATACTCAAAACAAACAAAAAAATAAACAGAACAACCCCTGCTATTTAAAAAAAAAAAGAAACTTTTTATTTTGTATTGGAGTATGGCTGATTAACCATGTCGCGATAGTTTCAGGTTAATAGCAAAAGGATCCATCCATACATCTATTATACATGTATCCGTTCTCCCCCAACGCCCCCGCCATCAAGGCTGCCAGTAACACTGAACAGAGCTCCCTGCGCTGGACAGGAGGCCCTTGTTGGTTACCCGTTGTAAACACGGCAGTGTGTACATGTCCGTCCCAAACTCACTGCCTCTTCCCCCTGGCAACTCCAACTTCCTTCTCTTAAGTCTGTGAGTCTGCGTCTGTTTTGTGAATGAGTTCATTTACGTCATTTCTTTTCAGGTTTGGCGTATAAGGGATGTCATATGATATTCCTTCTTCCCTGTCTGACTGACTTCATTCAGCATAACAGTTTCCAAACCCATCCGTGTTGTCGCGAATGGCATTATTTCATTCTTTTTAGTGGTTGAGTAATATTCCATTCTCTGTATATGCCACATCTTTATCCATTCTGCAAAACCTCTGCTGTTTTTGAGAAGAATTTGGCAGGGGGAGAGGAAAGAGACTTGAAAGATTGCAGACTGTGGCTCCACTTTAGATCTCAACCCAAATATCACCTCCTCCAGGAAGCCTTCTAGGATGCCGGTAGCGGGGAGCAGGGCCCGCACTGGGCCACTTCCTCCCCCATCCTTCCCAGCTGGTGTTTTCCTCCTCTCGTCACCGTGGAGGGAGGGATAGTGGCTTATGATCTGCACCCTGCTCTCTCCCCCCACCATCCCCCCACGTGGGCAAGAGCTCTCTTGGTCACTGCAGAGTCTCCTACTCCAGGAACAGTGACTGGCCCGCAGACGGGATCTGACTCGTCCCGAATGAGTGAATAGGTGAGCTCCTCCTCGTTCGGCTTTCCGCCTACAAAGTCAGTGCAATGCCCGTGGCCCCCGCTTCTCACTCGGAGGCGGGGCGTGCCTGGCTCCGGTCCTGCCTGACCCTGTCTCCCCACGTGGCCTCAGGGAGGCCCGCCCGTGATGTCCTCGTTCTGTGCCGCGGGTGCAAGGGGCCCTGCTCCAGGGTTGCTGTGAGATGGGCCCGGCAGTGCAGGGAAGGTGTGCGCGTAACGCCTGCTCGTGGCACAAGCTCCTGACTGCCCAGGGCTCTGTGCCCATGGGTTGCATCCATTGAGATGGTGATGCACGTCTAGTGGATGATGGAGTGTGTCCCTCTATGCCAGGTATGACCTTTCCCAAAGTGAAAGTGAACGTCGCTCAGTCGTGTCCAACTCTTTGGGACCCCATGCACTATACAGTCCATGGAACTCTCCAGGCCAGAATACTGGAATAGGCAGCCTTTCCCTTCTCCAGGGGATCTTTCCAACCCGGGGATTGAACCCAGGTCTCCTGTCCTGCAGGTGGATTCTTTACCCACTGAGCGATGAGGACAGCCTCATAAACAGTGAAGGGGAGGTCTGGGTTTCCAGCTGGAGCCACATTGGTGAGGTGGCCTCTGATGAGGAGAAACTCAGCTACAGCCTGTCTGTTGGTCTTGTCTGATTGTGTCTTCGAGAAAGATGCTTTTGGCATGAGCCCAGCTTCATGCGGCAGACATGGGAAAGCCAAGATGAGACACTGGGCTTCCGTTTCTCACTACTTTGCTAGCTGGTCAACTCCTCTTGTCTTTTTGGAGAGAAATGAACAGAGCTCTTGTTTTTGTTAAGGCCCCTTGCTCTGAAAGAAGCCACCATAACTCAGATCTGGGCCTTATGGAGAGATTGGGAAAGTCAGGATTCTGGGAGCGGGGCCTGGGAATTCCTGAGATGAGGCTTGAGTTGAATCTAGATGACTTTTGGTAACATTAACATTTTAATTTATTAATTTTAATTTATTAATTTTAATTTAATTTATTAATTCTTTCGGTCCATGGACATGGGATAGCTTTGCATTTATTTGTATTTTCTTAGCTTTCTTTCATCAAAGTCTTACAGTTTTCAGAGTAGATAGCTTTCATCTTTCTGGCCAAATTTGTTCCCAAGTATTTAATTATCTTTGATGTTATTGTAAATGGGATTGATTTCTTTATCAGAAGATTCACTGTTGGTAAATACAATCTCTTTCCTCCAGGAGTAACCTTCCAGAACAACCGAGGAGTAAGCCTGCCTCTCCAGGCATGACCACAGCACCGCTGACCCTGGAACAAGCAAGTCAGATGTCCCGTGTTCTGGTTGGCTCCTGTCTTCTCTCTGCCCGGAAAGCTAGCGGGTGTAGTTCCCAGGAGACCGAAGAACAAGTTAAAGTGGGAGTGAAAGCAGGAGATGCCCGAGGTGGGAGGTTGCGGACAGAGCAGGATGCTGGGCTGAAGATGAGACTCAGAGCGGCTCCAGCAGTGCCTGAAGGCAGGAGTATGAGCGCCCGACCTCAGTGGAGTGGGGGGTGAAGGTCACTGCAGTGTCAGGAGTTAGATGGGTGAGCAGCCGGAAGATATGGAGTGAGGGTGAAGGTCACTGCGGTGTCAGGGAGTTAGATGGGTGAGCAGCCGGAAGATATGGAGTGGGGGTGAAGGTCACTGCGGTGTCAGGGAGTTAGACGGGTGAGCAGCCGGAAGATATGGATGTTCCCATGAAGACGGCAGGAGGAGGGTGAAGGGGCATGAACTTCTCCCCAGTTCCTTGGTGAAGAAGAGCAAATAGCTAAGAATTGCAGTTATAGTAGAGGTGAGGGCACAGCCCCACAGGTCTTTGCCTTCAGAGTTTATATGTAGTTTTTTCCTTTTTTGATTCTAGGAGGCTAAGACAGCAAGTCGTTACTGGACTAACTATGTGGATTGAGAATGCGACTACATGTTTCCTACCTGCAGGAAAAGAATGAAGAAATGTTGAAACTCCCAAAGAAATAATTAAATGGCAGATTTCTTTTTCTTCAAAGTTATAACAAGAAATTATGGCATTATCTAGTAAATAATAATATAAACCCAGAAACATGAGTAAGAATCAGTAGAAATAAGAATCAGCTGAAGTAGATTCACAAAAAAATCAAGATAATGAAAATTATTATGTGTGGAAAATACAATGAATGTGATTGATATAGTTAAATAAAATTTTACAAACAAATTTTAAATCATGAGAATAAAGTATTACACTATGAAAATGAATGAAGCTTGTTTGAAAAAGAAATTTTTAGAGTGGAAAATATAATAAGTAAAAATAACAAGTGGATTGAAGAGTATGTTATGCAAATGTGAAGATAGAATCAGTGAACTGTATAGATCAACAGAGGGCTTCCCTTGTGGCTCAGCTGGTAAAGAATCTGCCTGCAATGCGGGAGACCCAGGTTCAATTCCTGGGTCTGGAAAATCTGCTGAAGGGATAGGCTACCCATTCCAGTATTGTTGGGCTTCCCTTGTGGCTCAGATGGTAAAGAATCCGCCTGCAATGTTGGAGACCTGGGTTCGATCCCTGGGTTGGGAAGACCCCTTGGAGGAGGGCATGGCAACCCACTGCGGTATTTTTGCCTGGAGAGTCCCATGGATAGAGGAGCCTGGCGGGCCACAGTCCACAGGGCTGCAAAGAGTCAGACACGACTGAGTACAGAACACGGATCACCAGGAATGACCCATGATAGAGCCCAGAGAAGCAAAGGGTAGGATACGCAGCAGAGAGGCTACGGACGTGCAGGCCAGAGTAAGAGAGTCCAACAGCTTCCATCAGGATGAGGAAGAAGCAATGTCTGAACATTTTTTTTTTTCAATTTCAGAATTCAAAAAAAGACACCAATCCTCAGATTTAACAATTTCAAAGAACTACAAGAGCAATAGATTTTAAAAAAACCAAAAAGACCAAATGTAAAGTGAAATTCTTTAAAGAAGCCAGAGAGAAAAGACAGATCACTCACAAAGAAATAACAGAAATGCAGATGACATCTCAATAGCAACAGTGGACAAGTTACTTTAGTAATGAGAAATAGAAAATCCAGGTAGTCCTACAATTACTAAATAAAATGAATCCATAATTTAAAAACCTTCCTACAAAAGAAACTGTAGGCCCATATGGTTTCATGGGTGAATTCCATCCAAATATTTAAGGGAAAATAATGTGATCTTTTATAAGTAAACTCTTTCATAAAATGGAAAAAGAATGTAAGTCCTACACCTCTTTTTGTGGTGCCTGCATAACCTAGAAGGGGGGGGAAAATGGTTAATTTCATTCAAGAATACAGCTGCAAAAATTTTAAACAAAATATTAATAAATTGAGCCCAGTAACTATTGTTTATTTCAGTAATTTCTGCTCATAGTGAAAATGATAGCGAAGTATAAATAAGAGGGAAACTTCTTAATTGGTTATTGTAGTTTTAAAAATATTTGTAAATAAACAATGTACTTAATGGTGAAATACTGAAACCTTTCCTATTGAATTTTGGAATGATAGAAGGAAGCCTATTTTTTCCTTTTTCTATTCAAGCTTGCATTGGAAGTTTGACCAGTATAAAGAGGAATCAAGAAATAAAAACCATAAGGTTCATAAAAGATATATCTTTTTTTAATAGAAAAATTCCAGCACAGAAAAACAAGAGAATAGTTATTATAATTTTCTGGAAAATGTTTAAAGGGGAGGTAAGCGCTTGTGATTAGGAAGGGAACCTATGGTTGCTGAGAATGGGGTGGGGATTACTAATGCTTGTTTCATAATGAGTCATTATATGACATCTTGTAATGAGATAAAAGTGCTTACAAATATTATTAAGGACTTCCCTGGTGACTCAGTGGTCAATAATGCACCTGCAATGCAGGAGATGTGGGTTTGATCCCTGGGTCAGGAAGATCCTCTGGAGAAGGAAATGACAACCCACTCCAGTATCCTTGCCTGGAGAATCTCATGGACAGAGGAGCCGGGCGGGTTACAGTCCATGGGGTCGCAAAGAGGTGGACACGACTTAGCAACTAAAGAACAAAACAAAGTATTATTGTTGTTCAGTTGCTCAGTCACAGCATCATGGTTATCTGGGTCGTGATGATCTTTTTTGTACAGTTCTTCTGTGTATTCTTGCCACCTCTTTTTAATGTCTTGTGCTTCTGTTAGGTCCATACCATTTCTGTCCTTCATTGTGCCCATCTTTGCATGAAATGTTCCCTTGGTATCTCTAATCTTCTTGAAGAGATCTCTAGATTTTCCGTTCTATTGTTTTCCTCTATTTCTTTGCATTGGTCACTGAGGAAGGCTTTCTTGTCTCTCCTTGCTCTTCTTTGGGACTCTGCATTCAGATGGGAATATCTTTCCTTTTCTCCTTTGCCCTTTGCTTCTCTTCTTTTCACAGCTATTTGTAAGGCCTCCTCAGACAGCCATTTTGCCTTTTTGCATTTCTTTCTCTTGGGGATGGTCTTGCTCCCTGCCTCCTGTACAATGTCACGAACTTCCGCCCATAGTTCTTCAGGCACTCACTCAGTCTTGAATCTACTTGTCACTTCCACTGTATAATCATAGGGATTTAATTTAGATCATACCTGAGTGGAAGAGTGGTTTTCCCCTATTTTCTTCAATTTAAGTCTGAATCTGGCAATCAGGAGTTCATGATCTAAGCCACAGTCAGCTCCCGGTCTTGTTTTTGCTGACTGTATAGTTTCTCCATGTTCGGCTGCAAGAATATAACCAATCTGATTTCAGTGTTGACCCTTTTATCTAGGTCTTTTTAAATGTCTCTCAATAATGTTTTATAATTTTGCTCAGTTTCAGAAGTGAAATTCTGTTTCCCCACTGTTTCGTCCCTTAGACCTTTCTGCATGTGCTGTGCAGCCTGTGAGATGTTTTCCCCGCACCGCTCTCTGTCGCTTTAATTTTATTTTATTTCAGTTTGTCAGTATGCTGTCACAGCGCTGCCGTCAATACGCCAGCAAATGTGGAAAACTCAGCAGTGGCCACAGGACTGGAAAAGGCCAGTTTTCATTCCAATCCCAAAGAAAGGCAATGCCAAAGAATGTTCAAACTACCACACAATTGCACTCCTCTCACACGCTAGCAAAGTAATGCCTAAAATTCCCCAAGCCAGGCTTCAACAGTACGTGAACCGTGAACTTCCAGATGTGCAAGCTGAATTTAGAAAAGGCAGAGGAACAAGAGATCAAATTGCCAACATCCGTTGGATCATCAAAAAAGCAAGAGTTCCAGAAAAACATCTACTTCTTTATTGACTATGTCAAAGCCTTTGACTGTGTGGATCATAAGAAACTGTGGAAAATTCTTCAAGTGATGGGAATACCAGACCACCTTACCTACACCTCCTGAGAAATCTGTATGCAGGTCAAAAAGCAACAATTACAACTGGACATGGAACGACAGACTGGTTCCAAATTGGGAAAGGATTATGTCAAGGCTGCATATTGTCACCTTGCTTATTTAACTTATATGCNGAAAAGACCCTGATGCTGGGAAAGATTGAAGTCAGGAGGAGAAGGGGACAACAGAGGATGAGATGGTTGGATGGCATCACTGACTCAAAGGACATGAGTTTGAATAGGCTCCAGGAGGTGGTGATGGACAGGGAGGCCTGGCCTGCTGCAGTCTGTGGGACTCCAAGGAGCTGTACACGACTGAGCGACTGAACTGAACTGATGGAAGAGGGATGTCATCCTCACGGAGAGAAATACTGTACATTTCCAAGATGTCAGTTCTCCCCAGCCTGATCTTTAGTTTTAAAGCAGTTTCAATAATTTTTCATGGAACATGACAAGCTTATGTTTATATAGAAGAACAACCAGCTGTGACAGACAAGATCTACCGGAAACAGAAAATAGTAAGGCGTAGGGCTTGTCCTACTGTCAGGCCCTGATTTAAATCCTTAGAACAATTAAAACAGTGCTTTACTGGCACGAGCACAGATAAAACCGTCCGCCGGTGAATTAGAATAGAGAGCCCAGGCTTGGAGCCCAAACTCAGGTGCAGAACAAAGACTGCTCATGGCAGATTTATTGCTGATTTTTAGTGAAATAATGGAAGAGTTAATAAACAATGCTTGACAATCGGTTTTCCACTTTGAAAGTGGACCTCTTATCTTATGTGCAGAAGTCAATTTTGCACGGTTTAAAGTCCTAAATGTAAAAAGGCAGAGCTATACAACTTTAAAAATCCGAGTGACTATCTCGGGAGATGGCTCTCTTAAACTAAGACACAAAAAGCATAAAGTGGAAAGGAAAAATGTGAGACCTTTGACCTTATTGAAATTGAGAATTTCTGTTTTGGCAAAAAGACATCATCGAGGACATGAAAGACTAGTCATGAAGAGGGAAGATAAAATCAACAAATGGTTAGTATCAGCATTAAAACGCCTGTAATTGAATTTTTAAAAAAGATTCAATGGAGAAATTCCATATATTTCTCATATGCTATCTAAAATATGACACAGCTGAACTTATTTACAGAACAAAAAGAGACTCGTAGAAGACGAACTTATGGTTACCACAGGGGAAAGGGGTGTGGAGAAGGGTTGGAGATTAACAGATACACACTACTACATGCAAAATAAACAGAAGGTCCTCCTGGGTAACACAGGGAGCTACGGGTTCAACATCCTGCAATAAACCACAGTGTAAAAGACATGAAAAAGTTATATAAATACAATAAATGGAATCTTTCCTGTAAAGTGGAAACTAATGCAGTGTTGTGGATCAGCTGCACTTCAATTAAAAGAAAAGAAAAAGACTCAAAATCCTCAGTGCTCCAGGAAACGCCATCTAAAACCAGGACATTCTTTTTTATTCCGCTCAGATTGGAAACACTGTAAAATCTGACAGTATCAGGCCCTGGCTGGGATGCAGAGAGAGGAGGCTAAGGCACCTGGGGGCATATAAACCCGCTACAACCTCTTCTGGGGAACAATTCAGCAAATACCATAAATACCGAAGGTGGACGTTACCCAGAAATTCCGTTTCTAGTCTTATAACTCACACATGAACACTCTCACACATGGACATCACAAGACTTATAACCTGTATTCAGATCTCAGCAGATAACTGTCCAAGTTCCCACACCGTTTCACACCTTCAGTGTCACCAACCCCTCTAGCACCCAAAGGAGTAGCTACAATAGCAGATTTTTTTTTAAACCAAGGAGGTAGCTACAATAGCAGATTTTTTTGTTTTGTTTTTAAAAACCAAGGAGGTAGCTACAATAGGAGTTGTTTTTTTTTTAAAGCCAGCCTCTGAGATTTCTGATGTTGTTTGAAAGTTATACAAGTTGACAGAAATGAATTAAACAAAGACCAAGGAACACAATTTGAGCCTTCCAACTTCTGTTCCACAATGACACTTGTTCCCAAGTGTAACTTGAGTTCCAGACGAACTGTGTGACCTCCGGAGACTTCTTACCTCTCTGATCCACATTTTATTATGAAGATTTTTAAAAGAAAGGGGATAACTATACTGACCTGCATAGGTTGCTTCAGAAATACAGGGATGATGCATTCAGGCTGAAGCATTATTTGGCTTTTGCTTTTCTCTCAAATCACTAGCATCTCTGTTGGATTGTAAATTGTACAAGGGAGTACCTCCTATTACATTGTTATCCTTTGCATAATGAAATATTTTTCAGATTTTGAAAGTATATAAACCAGCCAGTTTCCCCTCCGCAAACACACACATACACACACACACACACACACACCAGATTCCATTTATAAGTACTCTTATGAGTGTGGTGGGTGGGAAAGAGAAAAATACCTGTTTCCACTTGCTGTATATATTTAACCTAGTTTAAGTTAGTGAAAACGAGATGAGTTTTAAAGTGAGACAAATCAGAAGTCCAGCTGGTCCCCATTTCCCTCTCTCTGGAGTCCTGGTTGCGGTTTAGTGGCTCAGTCATGCCCAACTCTCTCGTGACCCCCTGGACTGTAGCCCGCCAGGCCCCTCTGTCCGTGGGGTTTCCCAGGCAAGAGTGCTGGAGTGGGGTGCCACTTCTTCCTCCAGGGGCTCTTCCCTACCTGGGGTCTCTGGTGTCCCCTGCCTGGGCAGGCGGGCTCTTTATCCTTGAGCCATCAGGGAAGCCCCGGAGGAGCCTTAGTTACCTGAATATAAAAGAGGAGTTTCAGGGCCATCAGAGCTGACGCCTGGTGATAGCAGTGCAGGACTCCTTGCATATAATAGCCCGTGGTGAATGCTACTTCCTCTTCCTTGGGTGCTGGGCTGGGACGGCTGGGACTCTGGAAGCTGTGTGGGTTTAGGTGGCAGAATGTGCTAATTTTAATTTCCAAATGGGTTTTCCTCCTCTGAGGCTTCTTTTCAGCTGGCCAAGTCCCCGCAGTGGGAACCACTGACCGGGGCTCCTTTCTCACAGACGTGCTAACCCTTCCCTTTGTCCCGTCTCGCTTTTACTGTCAGTCTGGTACTTGATATGGAAGGAGGATGCATCTTAACCCCGCCCCAGCGCTCCCCCGGGCGCTCCCCCGGGCGCCCCTCCAGCTTCCTGCTCCCACCTTCCGCAGGTATCTGCTCAGGGCCGCCCGTCTCCCTCCCCTCCCAGCCCAGCTGAGCTCTCCTCAGATGTCCCAACACTTGGACCACTCTTCAGTCTTCTCTCTTGTGTTCATCTCTGTCTACAGGACTCGTGGGAATTTCTGCTGGAAGCCTCCGAACGTGCCCCAGAGTGTCTACCAGAGGATACGATGCTGACCTTTCTAGAGTTCCTGCTATTAGTCCCTGAAGATCCCAGAAACCCACCCAGCGCCCAGCCCCATGCCTGCGGGCTCATCTCTGACCTCCCTCTCCTCTTCCCAAACCACGTCGCACACGTGCCTCACCAGGAACTCGCGTCCTGTCTTCGCGTCCCACCGGTTCTTCCTGAGTAGGCGACTGTCCTTGGAGCCTCCACCGCCATGAAAAGGCCACACTCTTAGTTGTCCTCGGCTTTTTTAAACGTTAATTTTTAAACTTTTGTATTAGTGATCTATCTTATACATGTTTAGTCGCTCAGTCGTGTCTGACTCTAGCTGCCCCATGGACTGTTGCCCGCAAGGCTCCTCTGTCCATGGGGTTCTCCAGGCAAGAACACTGGAGTGGGCTGCCATGCCCTCCTCCACTGGGCCACATGTCAGGATTCTCCACTCTGACCCATCTGGGCGGCCCTGCACGGCATGGCTCATAGCTTCATTGAGTTATGCAGGCCCTTCGCCATAATAAGGCTACGCGTCCTGTCTTCGCGTCCCACCGGTTCTTCCTGAGTAGGCGACTGTCCTTGGAGCCTCCACGGCCATGAAAAGGCCACACTCCTAGTTGTCCTCGGCTTTTTTAAACGTTAATTTTTAAACTTTTGTATTAGTGATCTATCTTATACATGGTGTTTAGTCGCTCAGTCATGTCTGACTCTTGCTGCCCATGGACTGTTGCCCGCAAGGCTCCTCTGTCCATGTGGTTCTCCAGGCAAGAACACTGGAGTGGGCTGCCATGCCCTCCTCCACTGGGTCACATGTTGTCAGGATTCTCCACTATGGCCCATCTGGGCGGCCCTGCACGGCATGGCTCATAGCTTCATTGAGTTATGCAGGCCCTTCGCCATAATAAGGCTGCGATCCATGAAGGGCAAGCCCCGCGTGCTGCAGTCCGAGGGGTGACAGAGTCAGACACGATTTAGTGACTCAGCAGTAACAGCAACAACCGGTTACATCTACCTGCATTTGTTTCCAGCATTCTTTGCTGCAAGAGAATTGGTTTGGGACTTCAGATATAATTTGTGCCAAAACAGGATCCTCCAAACTAAGGTATATAGAGAGGAGCATGGTGTGAGTAGTGTTATATACAGTCACGGAATAGATGACGGGATAGAGTCCCCAGGAATGACTTCTTTAGCACTTTTAAGCCTAAAATCCTACCTCTTCTCCCTGATCCCATCTCTTGAAAGAGTTCATGTCTTTTCATTCGTAGGTCTCCTTTTATACACAACGCCCACAGGGGGTCCATCCTTTACTGTCTTCCTGACAACAGGCATTTGGGTCCATGGTTAATGGCTGAAGAAAGGCCACTGTGGATTCTGTGGCTCCCCTTTCGGTGAAAGTTAAGGGTTCATGTTTTGTCTACACTGCTGTTAAAATGCTCCCTGGCAGGTCTGGGCAGGGGTGGGGGGTTGGAGCTCCAGCATCTCCCTAGATGCCCGTGTGGGCTGCTTTCCGATTTTGCCAACCCAGTCACTCCACGGGGACCCCTTGGGTCCCCAGCGGGAGTCAAGCGCTGGTTTGAGTGAGTAAACAGACCCTGCGCCTTGCCTACCTGCAGGGCAGCTAGGAGGGGTCCTCAGGGCGGTGGGCAGGCTGGGGAGACCGACTGAGGGATGAGGAGAACGGGGGCGGGAGAAAGTAGCAGGGAGCGAGGTGTTCAGGGCTGGGAGCAATGGGGTGAGTCCTGGAACCCAGAGGTGAAACAGCCGCTGGAAATAATCAGTGAGAGGAAGCAGAAGAAAAAATCAGAAAACGGATTGGCTTCCTTTCCCATCAGACACAAAAACCAGGGCCGCTAGGAAAAGGAGCTGCCGGGAGGCTGCCAGGGACGAGGGAATCCAGGGTGGTCAGAAAACCTGCCCTGGAGGCGATAAAAACCAAACGTGACAGAGAAAAGCAAACTGTCAGAGGGGAGTGGGGAGACATCTCAGGCTGCACGGCTCACGCAGAAATGCCTAAGGGAGGAAACGGCGGAGAAACGGGGGAGGCAGGAAATACGACGTGGAAGCACAGGTACGCCTCGAGGTAGCAACTGGACTGAAGTGGGGACCCCACGCAGGGCAGAGCTGAGAGACTCCCAGCCTTCCGAGCAAAACCAGGAAACGGAGATTCTTCCCTCAGACAGCTGCGAACTCCGAGGAGCGAAGACTCAAGAGCCAGGGGGCCACAGGGCAGCTGCCTCGGCTGAGTCCGGAGGGGCTGGATTTGTACGGAGCAGGCTCACCGGCCTGAGCGTCAGCCTCACCAGGCCTGTTTGCTCTTAGTGTCAGGAAAGCGCGCACTGTCACCCATGGCAAGCTCTGCTTGTATAGCCAGGATGGGCCTGGTCTTGAAGCACCTCCTCGGGCTCCTAAGGCTGCTCCTCACCGGCAAAGGCCCCACCCTCCTGGGCAGTTTCTGGGAGAAACTTCCCGAAGTCGGGGGAGTCGGGGGAGACTTCCCGAAGCTTAAAAACGGTAGCCCCACAGCCTGTTCCTGGGGCTGCAGGGCTGGGTCAGCCAGGCCCAGGGCCAAGACGCTGTGCTGAGAAAAGACTTTGAAAAACAAGTCTTGGCTCTTTCCCACAAACCAGAGATGTCCCTGAACAACCCANGGGGGAGACTTCCCGAAGCTTAAAAACGGTAGCCCCACAGCCTGTTCCTGGGGCTGCAGGGCTGGGTCAGCCAGGCCCAGGGCCAAGACGCTGTGCTGAGAAAAGACTTTGAAAAACAAGTCTTGGCTCTTTCCCACAAACCAGAGATGTCCCTGAACAACCCAATGGGCTTGGAAAACTTTCCATGTGGAGGAGTCTAAAGAATTGCATGATACTACTTTAAAAGCCATAACAAAATTCATCAGGCTTCTTTCAGTGGGATAGGCACACACCACTGGTGACAGAAAAGATATACTGTCAAGTGCCTCTAATATTCGGTCTGAAATTTAGGATGCAGATGCTATTGTTACGTCTGCTTAACCAGATGTAACAGAGGTAACCAGGCATAAGGAGAATGGAAGAAGAGCTCAGCAGAAGAACAAAATGGAAAAAAAAGGTGAAGAAAACACTCACATAAGGCACAGCGGTTGGTGGCTGAGGTTTCGTCTTTGCATAAACACGCACACATACAAGAGCGCACATGTGATGTATATGCAGATAGGTACATACATGTGTACAGCATATTCTACAATGAGCACATGTTATATAATCAAAAGTAAAGTTATTTTCTCTCTGAAGAAGGAAGCTGGAGGGCATGCTGGGGGTCCCACCAGGGCAGTCCCTGCTCCATCTGACCATCCTCCAGCCTATTAGGGCACCACTGATACCTGCTCCCACAAGACAAATGGTTTTGTGGCTTGAGAGGGGGTTGGTCTGGGGGAAACCTGCCTCTCTGGGAACTGAGGTGTGTGTGTGTGTGTGTGTGTGTGTGTGTGTGTGTGATTTCTTGTAAAATCCTTCCTAAGTTATTTGTTTGTGAGGGTGACGTCCAGTTGCATTCTGAGGCCCAGCAGTAAGGCCTTTACTTATTTTTCTGGAAAGAAGAGAAACACCTTGGGAAAGACGCGCCCGGGAGCCTTGGCCCCCCTCCCCCCAAGGAAGCACCTTGTTATTAACTCGGAACTCTTTATAGCTGGCCCGGAGGAAGTTTTTGGCTGTAAACTGTCATGCACGGCAGCCTTCGTTGAAAGGACCCAGAGAGCGGAGACGCTTGTCCTGAGAACCAAGGAACGAAGATCCAGAAACCCCCGCCCAGAAACGAAAGGGAAAAACCTAGGCGCTGACCGGCGGGGGGACCTCCGCAGCTAGGCGCAGCCCTGCGCCCCAGCGTCTCGGCCAGCCGCGCAGGGAGCCTTGGGCGGGGATCCCGAAAATCGGCCGCGTCTGCTGGAGGGAAGAAACGTCCCCGCGCATGTTAGAGAGCTGACATTCCCTCCTGCCGGGCTTTTTCCCTTATTCGGCCGTGCCGCGTCCCGTTTGTACAGCCGAACTATAGTTGGCGGGAGGGACCCGGGAAACGCGGGACTCCTCATCAGCGCTTCCAGACTTTGGGAAAATCGACCCCCAAGCGTCAGCGCCAAGAGAGCCCCCCCCCCGCCCCCGCCTTGGGGGTCAGGGAGCGACCTAAGCTTCGCTCTGGAGCGCAGGTTTTGGAGAGCCCCCCTGACTGCCTGGTATTCACGCTTCTTCCCCGCACGCCGGTGTTCTCAGTGCTCAGGTTCCAGCCTTCCCAGGCAGCAGAGATAACTTTCTTAATTTCTCCAAAGACACACGCAAACCCCCCAAAAGCCCGTGGCCCAAGAAACCCGATGAAAGTGACTCAGCAGGGTCCGGGGCCGCGAGCACACGAGGTCATTTCAGTGTCTCCTTCCAGAAGGAAACTGTCCTCCTCGGGCAGCCCCTGGGCACTTCCTTGTTCCTAGACAACAAAGAAATAGAAACGCGACAGAGTCGGGGCGCGCGGGGCTCCCAGGCTCCCGGCCCGAGCTGGAGGCGTGCGGGGTCGGCCGGGGTCCTTCCGGCGGTGGCCCCCGCGGTTCTCCACGGCGGAGCGAGTCTGGCCCCGCGCCGGGCGAGGAAGGGTTTGCGCGGGGCTTAGATCCCACGGCCTTCCCGCAGAGTCCCCTTGGCAAGGCGCGGGGTTGTTCTGAATGGGGCGCCTCACCGACGCGTGGCTCCTTCCAGAAAGCCTGAAGGTGGGGTGCGCGCGGAGCACACGAGGGGGAACCGAGGCTGTGGCCACGCTGGCTTCTTTCGAGCCGCGGGCGAGTGAGTCCGAGGCGCGCAGTCCGCGTCCCCACGAGGAGCGTCTGCTTCCTTCTTAGCTGGGTTCCCGCTTTAGGAGGAATGTTATTGTCTGAAGAGGCCCCATTGAACTATTTCCTGCCCATTGAGCGCGATTTCCCTTTCCAGACCCTGGAGGGCTGCGGAGAACAGGGGGCGCCCGGTGGGCTGGTCCGTGGTCTAGGGTGTTGGCGGGATCACCTGAAGCGCCGCGGGCCGAGGAACAAGACCGGACCGGGATCGGTGGCAGCTGAGCCTTCGGAGAAGCGCGGAGACCAGCCCGACTTGGGCCAGGCCCTGGGCGCGACCTTAGGCCGGGCTGCGCGCGGTGGTCGCGGGCTCCGGCGCACGCGGGAGCCGCGGCGGGGCTGGCATACCTGCGGGGTCCGGGATGCGCTTGGAGAGAGAGGAGGGGACCGCGCGCGCGCGGGAGTGGGGGAGCCTCGCGGGCCGCCCCGTCGGTNGCAGTACCGCGTGGACCATCTGCTGAGCGCCGTGGAGAGCGAGTTGCAGGCGGGCAGCGAGAAGGGCGACCCCACGGAGCGCGAGCTGCGCGTGGGCCTGGAGGAGAGCGAGCTGTGGCTGCGCTTCAAGGAGCTCACCAACGAGATGATCGTCACCAAGAACGGCAGGTGGGCGCGCCGGCTCCCCGCCCGGCAACACCCTGGCCTAATCTTTCCGCTCATTTCCGCTCGGGCTGGGAATAGACTCGTGTGGCCTCTCTCTCTCCCTCTGGGCCTTCTTCGCAGAATTGTCACTTTCCTGGGGAGGACCGGGTGGCTGCCCTGGGGGGTCAGATAGTAAAGAAGCTGCCTGCTATGCGGGAGACCCCGGTTCCCATTCCCGGGTCATGAAGATTCCCTGGAGAAGGAAATGGCAACCCACTCCAGAATCCTTGCCTGGAGAATTCCGTGGACAGAGGAACCTGGTGGGCTACAGTCCATGGTGTCACAGAGTCGGACACCACTGAGCAACTAACAGAGCCCTGGGGAGGGGGGACTCCCCGGGGACTCGGAGGACCGGGCCTGCCGGCTCTCGCCTGGAGGGCCTGACCGGTGTGCTGCAGCCTCGGCCAGGCCCTGTCCCACCTGCCTCCAGAGGTGGAGGGATGAGGGATGGTGGGGTGGGCGCCTGCAGGTCTAGGAGAGTCCTTTGTAGGAGGACCGCGCGTGTCCCCTTTTAAGTTCCCAGGGGGAACTTTCGGCCCCAAGCGACAGCTGCCCCTGGCTTCGGCCTCACCATCCCATCCCGGGTCCTCCAGCTGCGCCCCTTCGTTTTCAGGAGGATGTTCCCGGTGCTGAAGGTGAACGTGTCTGGCCTGGACCCCAACGCCATGTACTCCTTCCTGCTGGACTTCGTGGCGGCCGACAACCACCGCTGGAAGTACGTGAACGGGGAGTGGGTGCCCGGGGGCAAGCCGGAGCCGCAGGCACCCAGCTGTGTCTACATCCACCCCGACTCGCCCAACTTCGGGGCGCACTGGATGAAGGCGCCCGTCTCCTTCAGCAAAGTCAAGCTCACCAACAAGCTCAATGGAGGGGGCCAGGTAGGTGTGATGGGTGGGGGGCGGGGGGCGGCTCCAGGAGGGGCCTGTGACTCTGCACGTTCTTCTGGCAGAGAGCTGGAAGGGCGCTGCTGGCCTGGAGGTGAAGTCTGCCTTCCTCAATTAAGCCCTCAGTGTTGTTTATAGTAAGCTGACGACAGTAACACCCGGGCTGGAGAGTGAGCGGGGAGAAGGCTCAAAGCCTCGGCGTTGAACAGGGGGGCGGGCCTCAAGCTTTGGGGAACTTCTGCGTCCTAGCCTTCAACTTCCCTGGGGTAGAGAAAATACCCGTGTTGAGGGTAAGCGCTCATTTTAGAGCTGAATGTGCCCGCATACTTACTGCGTGGAGTCTGAGCAGACTTGTAAAGCCGTCCTTTTCTACAGATAGTCTTTCCCTGGGGAGTGTTCCTGGGAGACCCGGTGTTCCCGAAAGCAGCAGCGGTGCTCAGGCATTTCAAGCTGGCTGCAGCTGCCCTGGAAGCTGTAGAACTTTGTTCCACCAGGTCAAGCACCTCCTGAAGGGCAGGCATCGCCTCTGATCATGTGCAGCATCTCTCATTCCTTTTCAGACCTAGTCGTGGGAACGGCACCTGATGGGCAACCTACCGCCTTCAACTTGCTCAATTGCTCAGTCGTGTCCAACTCTTTGTGACCTCATGGTCTGTAGCCCACCAGGCTCCTCTGTCCTTGGGATTTCCCAGGCAGGGATACAGGAGTGGGTTGCCATTTCCTCCTCCAGGGGGTCTTCCCAACCCAGGTATCCCTCGTGTGTCTCCTGCATCTCCTGCATTGCAGGCGATTCTTTATGCCCCGAATCACCAGGGAAGTCCCCAGCATCAGCAGTAAAAACATTTTGCAGTAAAAACATTTTCCTGTGAGCTGCAGCAGTTTCTGTGTTTACGTCAGGACAAATGGAAGTTTTGTTGTCTTTAACGGTGGGACTTTGAGGATTGCAGTTCCTGTGTTCATGTCTCTGTCAGATCATGTTGAACTCCTTACATAAGTATGAGCCTCGAATCCACATCGTGAGAGTTGGGGGTCCACAGCGTATGATCACCAGCCACTGCTTCCCGGAGACCCAGTTCATTGCGGTGACCGCTTACCAAAACGAGGAGGTGAGGGGCGCGGGCAGTCAGCGGTCTCATGTGTGATGAGTGTCCTTTAGAGTCTAAAGTTTAGACGGATAATTAATGCCTTTTCAAATAATTTCCCGTAATGGTAGATACCAAACGGGACAGAAGGAGAAAAGTTTAAAATAAGAACTCATTCAAGCACTTTCTGCTTTAGTTTTCCCTAAAAGTGTCTAAATCTAGAAGCATCCACTAAATGCGCAAAATGAAAAGGTAAATAAAGCATTCAGGTTCAGGACTGTAAGATTTCTTGAGAACAAGACTTCAGAGAGAGAGAGAGGTGTCTCCTTACTCTGAAAACCTTCCTGAAAGGTCAGGAGCACCCCTCCAAGTCTGTGCTGTGTGAAGGGTCCACTAGATACAGCATACAGTTTAGTGCCTGTGAATCCATGTCTATGCCTGACCCCAAAGGACAGACAGTAGGTGATTAGCTGGTCAGGCTGTGAGTGTTGACCGCCAGCCAGAACTAGAAGTCACTGTCCGTAAGCAGATCTGGGTTATGTTTTGCTTGACTGATGCACCCAGAATATTGTCGGCAGTGAAGAAGTGAAGGGAAAGTCGCTCAGTCGTGTCCGACTCTTTGGGACCCCATGGACTGCACAGTCCAGGCCCGAATACTGGAGGGGGTGGCCTGACCCTTCTCCAGGGGAATCTTCCCAACCCAGGGATCAAACCCAGGTCTCCCGCATGGCGGGCAGATTCTTTACCAGCTGAGCCACACGGGAAGCCCTTATGAGCAGTAGGTTAAATTTATTGTGAATTCCACTTAGGAAATCAGCATCTAAAAACTTTACATAAATGTGCTGTTCTTTATGAAATATTGTAATTACTTGGCTACTTCGGATTCAAATAGGAAAATATACCTGGAATGAAGTCTGATTATATTTGAATATTTAAAGGGGATATTGGTGGTGCCTGATTTCTTGGTGCCTAATTAAGTCCTCTGACTAATGAGCCCTATCCTAGTAAATGCACCTTCTTGTTTTTCAGATCACAGCTCTTAAAATTAAATACAATCCATTTGCAAAAGCTTTCCTCGATGCAAAAGAAAGGTGAGAGAATTCTAACATACCCCTGGGGTGAAGAAGTGTGCAGAATGGTGAGCTATTGCTGCAAACACTGTTTCCTGAATGCTTTCCTTGACATTTCAATACACTTTCTTGACAGAAGCGATCACAAAGATATGATGGAAGAAACAGGAGACAGTCAGCAGTCTGGGTACAACCAATGTACGGTTTGTTGCACTCGGCCCAGATGTACCTTGTCTCAGGGAGCAGCCTGCCTGGGGCCGGGGGCTGGGGATGGGGCAGACAGAATTTCCGGGTGCCCTTGGGCAGCACACTGCTCTTCGCTGTGCAAGGCGGTGGCCCTGCACGGTGACTCTGTTCCTACTGGTCATTGAACTGCTGGCTCTCAGCCTCCACTCCATCCGGGGCTTGCAGGTGACCCCCCCACCCCCACCCCCACAGGATTCCTGACAGAGGAGCCTGGGTTCTTTTGCTTTGAGGCCACTCCAGGGGCTTCCTAGGTGGTGTGATGGTAAAGACTGCCTGCAATGCAGGAGACGAAGGAGACACGGGTTCCATCCTTGGGTCGGGAAGATCCCCTGGAGGAGGAAATGGCAACTCACTCTAGTGTTCTTGCCTGGGGAATCCCATGAACAGAGGAGCCTAGCGGGCTAGAGTCCACGGGGTCGCAGAGTCCGTGGACAGGACCGAGGTGCTGAGCACACACGAGGCGGCTCCAGCCGTGGCTAGGATGGATCGCCGAGACTCCAACGGGTGCTCAGACTCTGCTGTGTTGGGCAGGAGGAGAGCTTGGCTCTCATGCACTCTGAGATGGTCTGTCTTTTTGTTAATGGCTGAGAACAGAAGGACCATCTCTGGGACGATGCTTCTGATCACGTGTAGCTCTCCCCCAGCTTGCTTCGGGGTTGGGAATGGCCCGTGGGTCATGCTGGAGACAGCACCCCACCCCCACAGGATTCCTGACAGAGGAGCCTGGGTTCTTTTGCTTTGAGGCCACTCCAGGGGCTTCCTAGGTGGTGTGATGGTAAAGACTGCCTGCAATGCAGGAGACGAAGGAGACACGGGTTCCATCCTTGGGTCGGGAAGATCCCCTGGAGGAGGAAATGGCAACTCACTCTAGTGTTCTTGCCTGGGGAATCCCATGAACAGAGAAGCCTGGCGGGCTAGAGTCCACGGGGTCGCAGAGTCCGTGGACAGGAGCGAGGTGCTGAGCACACACGAGGCGGCTCCAGCCGTGGCTAGGAGGGATCGCCGAGACTCCAACGGGTGCTCAGACTCTGCTGTGTTGGGCAGGAGGAGAGCTTGGCTCTCATGCACTCTGAGATGGTCTGTCTTTTTGTTAATGGCTGAGAACAGAAGGACCATCTCTGGGACGATGCTTCTGATCACGTGTAGCTCTCCCCCAGCTTGCTTCGGGGTTGGGAATGGCCCGTGGGTCATGCTGGAGACAGCAGCTCGCAGGATGGGCAAGTCCGCTTTCAGTCCAGCCTCCTTTGGGAGTTAGTGGAGTGGTCAGCGGGGTGATGCGGGTCTACAGCAGAGTATCAGGGGAAAAGGCTGCCTTTATCTGTCCAGGCAGGTGGGGACTCAGAGATGAGAAACTGGCAACCCTTGGGAGAGAAAAGTTATTGCTGGCTGCTTACGTCTAGGCTTGGGCTGAACCAGAGCAGCGGCTTCTGCAACCACTGTTTCCCTTTCTTTCTCTTTCTTTCTTTCTTTCTCTGTCTTTCTTTTCTCTCTTTCTCCCTCCCTCCCTCCTTCTTTGTCCTTCACGGACTGCTTTAACAAACAGCTCCCCTAAGCGGCTCACGGCTGCTGCATCACAGAGCAGTGTATGAACCGCTGCTCTGGCCAGCAGTGGGCCCGAGCTTTGTGGCCACATCTGGACCCTCCTCTCGTTGGAATGCTGTCTGCAGTTAGAGTTTGGGAATTGGAGCCTGAGTAGTTGTCCTAGTGGTTGCTTTTCTGAATTAAAAAAAAAAAGGAAAATAAAGGGAATGGAGAAGAAACGGGAACTTTAAAGGAGGGCTGGGCAGTGTTGGAAAGATTCTCTGATGAAAGGTGGGAAAGGGTGAGCCGAAAAGAACAGCGAGGAGAACGTGGATGCCCCTCCAGGCAGGACGAGGCTCCGCCGCGTGACGGCGTGGTCTGCAGCAGGGAGGCGAGAGGGGCGAGGGGCTAAGTTCAGGGCTCTCCCTGTGTGTCCTGAGTCTGGATTCTGTCCTTTTTACCTTTATTCACGCTCAGTAGTTTGGCCTTGACAACTGACCTTCCTGGAGGGACAGAACATCCCTGGGGATATTCTGGGAGGATTCTGGGAGGGCTGGCTGAGGTTGGGGTCAGTCTCCCAGGTTCTCGGGTGCCTGTGGGTCTGGACACCCTGGCCCTTCCCTGGCCGCATGGGTGACGCCCACGACCCCTGAAGCCCGGGCCAGGCTTCCACGGGCCCTGAGGAGGAGGCCCACCACTCCCTGGCCTCTGCCCCGCTGTCCTCTAGCTTTGTTTCTGGCCATGGGGCTCCTGGGATTTGAGTTCCCCGACCAGGGCCTGAACGGGGCCCTCCGCCGTGAGAGCTCGGAGTCCTGAGCCCTGGACCGCAGGGAAGCCCCGTCCTGCCCGTTCGATGACGGAGGGGAGGCAAAGCGGGGTCCGCAGCGTGCTTCTTTCACAGCAGGGGGCTGGCTGATCCCCGGAACCAGCACCCTGTGTCCACCTGCCGCCCCCCACCCGCAGTTCGGAGGCCCCCTCTCGCTCCCCTCCACGCACGGCTGCGAAAGGTACCCGGCCCTGAGGAGCCACCGGCCAGGCCCCTATCCCAGCCCGTACGTGCATCGGAACAGCTCTCCAAGTAAGTCCCCAGCGGGAGGCGGCGGGGTTGGGGTGCATCGGAACAGCTCTCCATAAGTCCCCAGCGGGAGGCGGCGGGGTTGGGGTGCATCGGAACAGCTCTCCAAGTAAGTCCCCAGCGGGAGGCGGCGGGGTTGGGGGTGCCGGGAAGACTTTCGGGAAGGGAGAGGCAGTTGGTGAGCGTCCAGGGGGTAGGCTCTTGACTGGCTCAAGAGAGACCTTCTTTCGTGTCCACGTCGCTGCTGGCTGGACCCCAGAGACCCCCAGGCTAGGGGCTTCAGGGCTGAGTGTGGCTGCTACTGCTTCACCTCCTTTACTTTGGGACCCTGGGCCCAGGTTTGCATATTTTGTGAACCCTGCAAGGTGGTGATGCCGGGCCAGCCAGGCACGAGAATTACTAGCTTGATGAGACCCAAGTGTGTTTCTCCAAGTATGAGGCAGGGTCAGATGGCTCCAGCATCATCTGAAAACTCCCCAGACCCACAGAATCAGAAGCTCTGATGGTCCAGCTCTTCGTGGTTTCACACGCCCCTAGGGGACCCTGGTGCAGGCTTGACTGGTGTGAACACTGGGCCAGACCATGAAGGCCCCAGGACCTAATTCCCTCTAACACCACGGATGCCCAGACTTCATTTTGTCTGGCTCTGAAAGGAGGAAAAAAGCAAATGAACGCCATAAAACAATTAAGCAATTAAAGCTGATTTGAAATGAAAGAAGCTTATTTGAGAAGGAAATAGCAGTCCAGCTAGAGGCTAGATCATATTTTAAATTTTGCCTTGAGTAAATGCTTTTCAAAGCCCTTTTAATTCTTAAGTGGTAATCCTTTGCAGAAGAGACAGGTAAAAATTGCATTGATTTTTCAGTATAATTAGTTCTTAATCATGTGACTGTAGGGGTCCATTTCTAGAGGATAGCTGTTAATCTAATGATAAAAAAAGCCTGGGTGCTGGAATGTATTCCAATATGTACACTGGACAATGAGCATGGGCCTTTGATGACCAGTTAAGTGGGTGGTGATCTCAGTGTTGGGTAGCTCCAGCTGTTGGTAGCATTTCAGGGTGTTTTGTAATCCTTGGAAGCCCCCATCAGTAATGACACTTTTCTTACACCTGTAGCCTATTCCGACAGTTCATCCGCCTGTCTGTCCATGCTCCAGCCCCATGACAACTGGTCCAGCCTTGGAATGCCTGCCCACACCAGCATGCTGCCCATGGGTCCGAACGCCGGTCCTCCTGCGGGCTCCAGGTAACGTCTGTCTGGGGAGTGATGCAAAGTGTCCTGGGAACGTGAGTGCCTGTGATGTCATCCCATCCCATCCATTAGCCTGTATTCTTCTCTTCACTTATGGTTGATGGGTTTTTATTGATAACTTGACCACTAGCCAGCTATGTCCAGGACCCCGGGTTACATGACCGCTGTGCGTTCCTGCTTCAGCCTGTCCTCTGGGAACTCAGGGGTGCCTTCAGGGTGGATGGAGCCGGGCTGGCAAGGAAGGGAGCAGGGACCCTCTCCTGGCTCTGCTGTTGACTGGTTCATGTGATGGACAAGCCTCCTGAACCGCACTTCTTCAAGAAAAGGGCACCAAATAACCCCAGCTTCAACCCATCTTTACAGGATTGTAGGTGAACAGGATTGTGGGGTCAGTAGGTGAATCTTGAAGACAAGTTTCCAGAACCTCTTTTGACAGGCGCTATCAAATTAAAGAAATACATTTGTTGGATTTCTGTGGATATAGAATCAGTGTTTCTTCACATATATGCTAGGTAACTTGAGAAGAATGGTGACTTTATTAGCTTGAAAATTACATAGAGGGAGGTTGGCTTCAAAAAGTCAAGCCGGTCGGTCCATGTATTACATTTCTTCATAGAATTATTATAATAAAAACTAAAATGACAAAGCTAGAGCCCAGTCCATGTTTTCTAAAGAGGAGATGAGCCAACGGTATTAATGATTGAACAAGCTGGCTCACAGCAGACAAGGCACCTTGACCTCAAAAGCAGTGCCTTTCCTGTGTGGATGCTTGCTCAGTTGTGTCCGACTCTGAAACCCCGTGGACTGTTCAGAATATCAGAATTTGCCCAAGATCTTAGTTCTTTATGTTTAGGAAGCAATTCCTTTAAAGTCAGAATCTAATGTCTACTGTTAAAAACAGAGCAACCAAGACATAACCAGGAAGTCTTTCCAGGGCTCCGAGGTCACCTAGAAGACTTCTGTGAGTCGGATGACGTGCAGGTTACAACGGGGTCCCCCCTGAGGACTTCAGTGCATCTCAGAGCCTGTTTCTTTTCATCTGTAAAATGGGGAGCATCCCCTGCCTCACTCCATCAGGCCTGTTTGCAAGTCCAAGTGCATCTGAAGGGCAGGACGGGGCCTGGTCCACTGCACAGCCCACCGCAGCCTGAGGCCTCCTTGTTCATTTGTGGAAGGATTGATTCTGCTAGAGGAGAGGGACGTTTTTCAGAAGCAAAACTTAGCCTGGTGTAGGGTTGGTCAGGCCTATGTTCTCAGAGAGGGGAGGGCTAACGTCCGTTTCCAGTTGCTTCCTGCAGGGATTGGGAAGCAGAACCTGGAAGGTGGGCTCGGGGCAAGGCCCTCCTGACTAAGTGGGCTAATGGGGCTTTGCTTCCGGGTCTGAGTCCTGGGACTCTTCCTCCTCCCGGGCGTCATGCTGACACCTGCACACACGTGCCCGCAGGGGTCACCGGGGGATGCCCTGCACCATCCGTGTTTGTCTCCCTCATGGGAATGACTAGCTTGTTGTTGTTTTTTTAAGATTTATTTCCTAATTTTTGGGGCCGTGGTGGGTCTTTGTCGCTATACGGACTTTCTCTAGTTGTGGCGAGTGGGGGCGACTCTCCATCGCGATGCCCAGGCTTCTCATTGCAGTGCCTGCTTTTGTGGCCGAGCACGGGCTCTAGGGTGTGTGGGCTTCGGTAGGTGCGGCTCACGGGCTCTCGAGAGCACAGGCTCAGTAGTTGCGGCTTGTGGGCTGATTGCTCTGGGGCACGTGGGATCTTCCCAGACCAGAGGTCAAACCCGTGTCCCCTGCACTGGCACGTGGATTCTTAACCAGGACCACCAGAGAAACCCAGGAATTACTAGTTAACACAGGTGCTTACACACATCCTCTGAAACATCGGACTCAGTGCATCTGAGAATTTGGATTCTCAGCTCGAGCACAAAGCTGGAGTCTTTGGAGCGGAAGCTAACAGTGCAGGTTGAGGCCTTTTTAGGTGGCTCCTAATGATTTTGTTTCTTGTGAGCACAGGAGACGTGACCTCTCTCCATGTCCGAGTGTGATTTAATCACACAGAAATGAGCTGTTTATACCCCTGCAGTCTGGGGTGGGGTTGGCAGGGGTCTCCATCCCCCTCCTGGAGCGCCTCCCCAGGTCTCTGACCCGCCTGTCCCCCCACCTTTTCATTTCAGCCAGTACCCCAGCCTGTGGTCCGTGAGCAGCGGCAGCGTCGCCCCGGGCGCCCAGGCGGCGGGCGTGCCCGGCGGGCTGGGAGCCCAGTTCTTTCGAGGCTCCTCCACCCACTCTGCCCCCCTCGCCCACCCGGCCTCGGTGTCCTCCTCGTCGGGGTCCCCGCTGTACGAGGGGGCTGCCACGGCCACAGACGTTGCCGACAGCCAGTACGACGCCTCGGCCCAGGCCCGCCTCCTGGCCTCGTGGACGGCTGTGTCGCCCCCGTCCATGTGAGCCGGAGCCTGTGCCCAAGAGGAGGCCGGGGCTGCGAGTGTCTGAGCGGCAGTCTCGTGGGGCGCGGGAAGGGGGCCAGGCCTGCTGCTAACTGCCCTTCAAGGGAAAGAGGAAGAAGGTTCACGTTCTGTTATGTGTCAGGGGTCCCACCACCACCGCCGGGCTTTGTCCTCCGTCGTGGCGGTGCGTCCTGGGTCCGATCTGTGCTGAGGGTGAGTGCAGGCATGGAAGCCAGGCAGGGGGCCACCCTCGCCAGGATCCACAGTGATGATGACCGGGTAGCATTCAGAAGCCACGTTTCTCTTACAGCCCGGAGGTGACTCCGGCGCATCAGGCTCTGTAACTTCTCCGGTCATACTCTGGGAAGATAAAAAGTGCGCTTCCAGTTCTCCTCCCTGTTGTTTTCCAATAGCTTCCAGGTCCCTTTTGGGACCCCTGTGGCCGGGGTCCTAGTCAGAGCCCAGCTGAGACAGAACTGAACCCCTCTTGGGGGACAGCAGATGGTCGTTGAAACAACAGTGTCCACCTCTGCCTGCTAGAATGTTTACTTTTGAGCATAGGTAGCTGATCTCGTGTAATGTTAAACCTACAACTGTTTATGTTTTCCTTTTGACAAACTAGCCAAAGACAATCAGCAGAAAGTATTTTCTGCAAAATAAAGGCAATGTGCAAAATTCGGTTGGTCCAGTTATTATTTAAACACCTCTTCTTTTGCTCGTGCTCACGACTATCCTGGAGGAGCTTTTCAGTCTGTGGTGGACTTTAACATTTTATCCAATCAGTGGCAGGACTGGAGGTGAAATGTTCATATATTTATTTACTCAGTAGATAGACTATATTGCCACAAAAATGCAAATGATGTTAATTGATTTTCAAGAGACTCAGCACTGAGGGGTGAATGTGGATGACAGAAGGTAGAACATAATGATGCCATGAGGATTAAATGGGATGTTTGGCTCAGAGGTTAAAGCATCTGCCCACAATGCAGGAGACTGGGGTTCGATCCCTGGGTGAGGGAGATCCCCTGGAGAAGGAAATAGCAACCCACTCCAGTACTCTTGCCTGGAGAATCCTGTGGACGGAGAAGCCTGGTAGTCTACACGGGGTCACAAAGAGTCGGACCAACTGAGCGACTTCACTTTCACTTTTCTTTACTCAATTCAAGCAAAAATACATAGAGTGAACTGGCAAAAGGTCACAGTTTACAGGTGTCAGGTGTAGCCACCACAGTCATTTGAACAATAAGGCATTTGTTAGTATCTTCCCTGCCAGTAAGGTTTCCCGGTAGTGAGTCAGAACCACATCTGCGCTAGATCGGGGCAATTTCTCCACCTAGTGGCTGAACCCTTCCTTTAATCCTAGTTGTTCAAGCTCGATGCTCTGAACCTCTGGCATCTGTAAGAATGTGAGCCTAGAACTGAAGTGTAAGGGCTGCACCTTCGGTGTATCTGTGCCTGCTTTCCAGTCGAGCCAGGCTTCTTGCAAACTATTTGCCACTTGAAAGTTTTTCTTGGTTTTATTCCTGTGTGTGTGTGTTAGTTGCTCGGTTATGTCCAACTCTTTGTGACCCCATGGACAGCCTGCCAGGCACCTCTGTTCATGGGATTCTCCAGGCAAGAATACTGGCGTGGGTTGCCATTCCCTTCTTCAGGGGATCTTTCTGACCCAGGGTTTGAACCCAGGTCTCCCGCACTGCAGGCAGATTCTTTACCATCTGAGCCAGCAGGGAAGCCCTTGTTTTAATGCAACTCCTGTAGAAATATCCCAGATGAGAAGATTTGATATTATACAAAGATATAAATGGGTTCCCCCGGTAGATCAACTGGGAAAGAATCTGCCTGCAGTAGAGGAAACCTGGGGTCAGTTCTTGGGTCGGGAAGATCCCTTGGAGAAGGAAATAGCAACCTGCTCAACATATTCCTGCCTGGAAAACCTCATGGACAGAGGAGTCTGGCGGGCTACAGTTCATGGCATCACAAGAGTCGGACATGACTTAGTGACTAAACCACCAAAGATATAGAAGTACTGGAAGAATATTTTAAAATAAACCACTGCGCAGGTAGGACTGGGAAGTCAACGGCCCCAGGCGTGAGGCCTGCAGGAGAAGGGTGAGGCGGGGAAGGAGGTGGGGGGGGTCATGATGGGGTTTCCCAGAACCCATCACCTGACTGCTGTCCGAAGACTGGGGCTGTTCCCAGCACCCGCCCCTTCCCAGGCCTTCAGGAGCATTGGTGAGCGATGACCGACCTGCAGGCCAAGAGGAGCACGGGTCCAGTGAGACTCAGATGCCCCGGGTCGCTGGGGAGCACCGCCAGGAACGGGGCCCTGCCCCTGCTGGGGGCTGCCGGGAGACGGGGCCTCCACTCTGGGCTTTGGCATGTTGGAGTTTCTGAAGGTGGCCCAGAGAATAAATTCAAGGAGTAAATATTTTAATAAATCCAATAGCGTCTTCTTGGCTGTGGGGCAGCGGCAGCCGAAAAGAGCAAGGAGCTGGCAGTTTTGGTACAAAGACATGAATAGGAGTGTTCTTTCTCGTCCCTTGCTGTGGGAACCTCAGGAACATTAGCTATGGCTCTAGAAGCTGAAGTTCCTTATCTGTCCAGATGGAGAAAGACAAGACCTGGGTGCTGTTAAAAGGGATCTGTGGATCTCCCTGCCCGGTCCAGTGGTTAAGTGCTTTCACTGCAGGGGACGTGGGTTCAATCCCTGGTCCAGGAACTAAGATCTCAAAGGCACAAGAACATAGAAATAAAGCCAAATGGATCTTTTTTACCCAGAACACACACTTTTTGGGAGCACAGTCTGTCCCATTGGCCAATTGAAAAATGCTGTGGACTCTATCAGGAGGAAGACATCTAACCTAAGAGACATCAGGAAATTTCACCAATAGTATGCCAAGAGAAAGCACTGCGTCACACAGAGGAAGGAATAGGCCCCCAGGAAAGGAGACGGAAGAGCCTGTGAAGAGGGCTTGGTTCTGCTGGGGGGGAGCTGCTCCTGAGCCGGGCTGGGCTGAGACAGCAGAAGGCGGTCACAGACGGGCAGGGGACAGCTCACCCTGCTTCCATCCTGCCCTGCATTGGAACCTGTAATTACTGTCCGCCTCTGACGGACGGAGGACCTCTGTTAGCAAACATTCCTCTTCTTAAAAGCTGGCTCTAAAACCAAGAGGGAGAAAGCAGTGCAACCACAAAGATACTGATGTGAATAGAAAAGTGAAGTCGCTCAGTCGTGTCTGACTCTGCGACCCCCATGGACCCCCAGACTCTCCCGTCCATGGGATTTTCCAGGCAAGAGTACTGGAGTGGGTTGTCATTTCCTCCCCAGGAACACTGTAAATACCGCTAAAGCCAAACAAAACCTGCAGCGGGACCTGTCCCCGTGGGAAGACAAGCTGTCCCGCGGTGAGTGGGTGCAGGGGGCCGGGACATGGGGGTCCCCCAGGACACGGGGACTGCAGAGTGCATGGCCGTGTTCTTGGCAGAGCCTCCTGCCCCGGGGAAAGCTGGAGTGGACCGCTGTTTCCTGATCCTGACTCCCGTCTTTCCTCGCTCCTAAAGCCGGTCTGCTTGAGAAAGGCCTTGCGGCGGAGTCCCCAACCCCATCACTATCGCCCTTTTTCCACTTGAAAGAAAGGTTTACTGCTGACTCACCCGGCTCTTCATTGACTCAGGTGTAAAAACCTCCGGACATCAAACGGAAAGACAATTGTTCCACCCTAAGGCCTCATAAAGGCCCCCAGATTCTCCTCCCCAACAGACCCCGTTAAGAATCCGCATGGTAGACGTGCTGGCTTCCCACACGCACATCACCTAGTTCTAGCCAGCCTGGGGGAAGCTCGCCCATCTGACTTGTAGTTTTATAAACTCTAAAAAATTTACTATTATTTTTTATTCTGGCTGGGCCTTGTGGCATGCCGGATCTTAGTACCCCAACAGGGATCAAGCCTGTGCCCGCTGCAGTGGAAAGGATGGCCGTAAGCACCAGGGAAGCCTCCTGACTCCCAGTTTTAAATTCTCCAGAGACGATAACTGTACAGTTTGGGGTGCTTAGTATGTGCCTCTCACTGTTCTCAGAGCCTTTTCTCTTAGTCAGTTGGTAAAAGAATCTGCCTGCAACGCAGGAGACCCAGATTCGATTCCTGGATCAGGAAGATCCTCTGGAGGAGTCATTTAATCGTGTCAGACTCTTTGCGACCCCATGGACTGCAGCCCACCAGACTCCTCTCTCCATGGGATTCTCCAGGCAGGAATACTGGAGGGGGTTGTCATTTCCTTCTCCAAGAGCCGGACACGACTTATCAACGAAGCCTCCACGACTGTTCTAAGTACATTGCACGTGTCTCTGACCTCCTGGGAAACCTCTCCTCATTTCATAGAAAAGCAGGTGGAGAACAGACCTGGAATGCCTTGTCCCGGGTCACACAGCCGGTGGGTGGAGGGGTGGAAGACGCAGCCAGGGGATCTGAGTGCAGAGCCCCGCTTGCTAGCCGTGTGCTTGGCCGACAAAACAAGTCAGGCGGCTCCGCGGGTGCCGCCACGGGGGAGGCGGCGGGTGGCACGGGGCGCCTGCAGTGGTTCCAGGAGGAGCTCTGCTGGGCTCTTAGAACAGAGAGAGGCCCCTGATAACAGTGACGACCGTATCCAAAGGAGACGCGGCCCAACCTCACCTCACAGGCACCCGCGGCTGGCTGGATGCTGGGGGCGAGGAGGGGCCTCAAGGAAGGGATGGGAAGTGGGGAGCAGGGCGTCAGTCGTGACCAAGATGCTGAGGTGTGAACACACCACCAAAGAGTGGGAGCCCCATGCGGGCCCCGCAGAGTCCGTGGGTCACCCCAGGGCCCTGCAGAGCTTCCACTGGGAGCCCATGGGTCACCCCGGGGCCCCGCAGAGCGCCCACTGAGAGTCCATGGGTCACCCCGGGGCCCCGCAGAGCTTCCACTGGGGGTCCATGGGTCACCCCGGGGCCCCGCAGAGCTTCCACTGGGGGTCCATGGGTCA